TCTGGACAAACAAATAACAGACTTCATGAGTTGCTCCCATGCATGGGTCAAGCTAGTGGACGTGGTAAAATTCACCAAAAAAGGTAAAGAGAGAAAGGCTATTTAATCAACTAACGCGTTCCAAACTATTTTCAATAATTCCAAACTTTTTTTTTTCCGCAAAATTGATGAAAAAAACCAAAAAATTCAAAGATTTTAATTTATGAAATCGAATTGGCGTTTTTTGCAGACAGTTTTTAGGGACTCTGTTAAAAACAACGTATTGAACTAAACGAGACATCATTCTATCAACTGCGACCTGAGATAAATAAGGTATCTGAATTTCAGACACCTAAAACAAATCTGAGTTTGCCAAAATCTTATATATTACCGACAAATGATAAATGGGGAAGCTGAATTTCAGACATCTAAAACGGCTCTAATCTGATAAGATCGTGTTTATTAACCGACCTGAGATAAATAGGGTGTCTGAATTTCAGACACCTGAAACGGTTTGAGTCTCCCAAAATTCAAAATATTTTAATGTTAACCGACAAGCGATAAATTTGGAATCTTAATTTCAGACACCTAAAACGGTTTGAGTCTGTTAAAATCGCATATTTTAACCGACCTGAGATAAACAAGGTATTTGAATTTCAGACACCTAAAACTGTTTGAGTCTGCCAAAATTCAAAATATTTTAATGTTAACCGACAAGCGATAAATTTGGAAGCTGAATTTCAGACACCTAAAACGGTTTGAGTCTGCTAAAATCGCATATTTTAACCGACCTGAGATAAACAAGGTATCTGAATTTCAGACACCTAAAACGGTTTGAGTCTGCCAAAATCTTATATATTAACCAACCTGAGATAAATTAAGGTATCTGAATTTCAGACACCTAAACGGTTTGAGTCTGCCAAAATCGTATATTTTAACCGACCTGAGATGAATAAGGTATCTGAATTTCAGACACCTAAACGGTTTGAGTCTGCCAAAATCGTATATTTTAACCGACCTGAGATGAATAAGGTATCTGAATTTCAGACACGTAAAATGGTTTCAGCCTGCCAAAAATTCAAAATCTTATGTTAACCGACAAGCGATAAACTGAGAAGCTAAATTTCAGACGCCATAAACGGCGTGAGTTTGTCACAAATCTGATATAAACAATTAAATGAACCGAGATTAAAGGCTGAATTTCAGTTTGTACTGTCACCGATCGTGTACTGAAATAAAAGCACTTTTTCAGAGTGTAGCCCAATTTCAGAAAAATATTGGTTTGACTTTTGTTTAAATCATATGTGCATAATTCATAAATCAAACACATCTAAGCAGAGATGAGATTTTAGAGCCAAATTTTAGTCCGCGATCAACGTTTTATGGGTTTTCAACAGCGGACACCTAAAACGGCTTGATTCTGTCAAAATCTTATTTATCAACCGACAATGCATGCAGCGAAACCGACCAGTGAAAAATTGGGCAGCTGAATTCCAGAACCTAAAGCGACTTGACTGAGTCTGCCAAAATTTAGTTTACCTGCAGACCTTCACATCACAACCAAAATACTAAAGTCAAATGCAAAGAATCAGGTATATAGAATTATATAATTAGTTTTTCAAATCACAAAATTTTGCGCAATACGTTTGCTTCTTCTTCATTTGGTGTTAAGCATAAAACATTCCTGCCTTCCTTCATGACTGCAGCAGCTCCAGCAACTGAAACAGTCATAAAAATAGATCAATTTAGTTGGAATGTTATACTGCATAACATTTAATTATGTTTTTTACGGGAAACTACTTTAAAATATACTGCGCGAATAGGTGAATAAATTGAAGGAAGAAAGCTAGTGATCCAATGATAGTGTAAAGTTGCATAGTGGGACACAGCTAATCAACCTTATCATTTTAGCTCCCATATTGAAAGGTTTCAATTTTGCATTAACAAGAAAGTTTCTCGAAATTTTTGTCAACTTGACGAAAAGCCTAATTAACATTTAAATAAGACAAAAGAAATTGTCTAAATAAAGTTCAAAGCGCTGAGATAGTTGAATAAACCACTACGAACAGAAATGACCTTCACCACTGACTAGATGATTGACTATGTCCTTTGAATCCGCCACCCATCAGAACAGTGTAAAGTGAAACTTCACAGTAAAAGCGGTTAAGTTAAATTATTTTTTTGTATCAACGATTAACAACACGATTGCACCTGTTGTTTCCAGATAATTCATTGTAACTAGTCGGCAGCAACAATGTGAACAGTGCATAAAAAAATTATTAGTATTTCATCAGTACTGGTATAATTGCATACCTTGTGGCGTATTCACGTCAAGAATCTAATCGCCTGGTCTACTGAACATTTCAACTACAGAATGCCACACCTCCAACTCCTTGTGCTCTTGACTTACAATAATAAAATTCTCAGTGCAGGCAGTGAAATTAAAATGATCTTGCAGCAGCCGTTGCCCAGGCGCCGCATGGTAGAGGAGAAACCCCTCTACATCCTGTACCATACCAAGGCTAGGACCTGTAAAATGCAGGATTAATGCGTAAGTTAATTTTGTTGTATGCATTGCAAAATACGGTTACAGTTTACAGTAGGTATGCTTTTATGCGTGTAAATTTGACGTATTTTCGAGTGTACGTGAATTTGAACTTCTAATTTTACAGTTGAATGGCAGAAATAACAAACGCAGACAAGTTTAACTAAATTTTGTTACATAAAATTAAATATAAAAACATTGCATCGCAAGAACCTCTAGAAAATACCAGGATGCTGTTTTAACAAAAAAATCTATGGTGAGCAGAAACCCAAAAGGTGGATTAAACAAAGTGATTAAGGACCTTACGATTGACAATTACACCAGACATGCGGCTAGCTGCAATCGATAAACTATTGAAGATAGTATTTTGGGGCCAATTATTAGATGATAGAGCTTCGGGCAGTTTGCGAAATAAAATTGAGGCATAAATTCTCTACGACAGACACGGTTATCCCTTTGCCGTAAACGTGAACATTAAAATCTTACTATTTTAAACATGAATACATTGCCCGTTAATATGCTAATATATACCTGATGGCTTAACTCCTTTAACACATGCGAAACCAAGTTCGCAGATTCCACGGTGTTCCTCGATCCATTTTTTTATTTCCATTAATTGATGGATATCCCCCATTATTGCTACGTTGAAAATGTGGCACACACCAAAATTTAAACGGTCCACTAGGTCCAGGAAACCTGCAGCAAATGTTGTCACATCATTTTCATAAAAAAATCATTGTGAAAAAGAAAGTATTGTTCAGTATACACCTTTTTCACAATTATCACAGTTGTACATATACAGTACTATTGGTGCATTAGGTCAATGTTACATCACTATACTGTACCTGATGTGGTGAAAGCTTACATAAGGCTAATGAAAATCCTTTTTCTTGCCCGTATGACCCCTTGCTGCAGTCCCAGTGGGTCAACACACATGTGGACAACGCCCCTTGTTCCCTGGTCCATCAGAAATACATTGGGTGACTTACACAGTGGCTACTAGTGCTGTCTGATTCCTCGATGGTCAGACTCTTTTGCAGATATTCCAAGTATTGTCTGAAAATAAGGTTGGTTTCATCTTTTCCCTAGTAAATAGAAACACAGCTCTACTGAATGTGCGAAACACAGAAAAATGTTTGCAGACTAAAATGGTCATCAAATAGGTAGCAGAATTGAAAATTGAAATCTTCCAAGGAACATGTAGCAGGGCTGATTTGCTACTAGTAGTTTGAAATGTTTCTTGTAGTTTGAATTATTAATTTAGAAGTCAGTTCAAATACTCAACCTCAGCATAGAGAGAAGAGCGGATATTTTCCATTCTACAAACCTGGATCAAAATATCGAACTGCCTGATATAATACATATACTGTATACTTACTGTAAATTTCCTTAACTGGTCAACGCTGACTTTCTCTCCCAATTTTGCACTAAGCAATTCCCATTTACATCCAAGAAATGAAGAAATCACTTTTTGGACAGGCTTCAGTACTTTGCACTCCTTGCACACTAATTTCAGTTCATCCAGACTGTTACTTTGGTCAGCAACCTAAAAAAAACAACAGATTTAGAATGATGATTGGATTTAATTTAAAGGGCACAATTATATTTTAATAAACTAAGTGGTTAATTAGTAAATAAAATTTTTAACAGATCACAGCGGCAAAAAAATAAGCTAAGGGGCATCTTACGCCTAAAAATGGAAGAAATATCTTTACCTGACCCAACAGAGCAACACGATCTGAAACGTCGAGGCCAAATAAGCATTTGATGTATGATGGCTTGAACCTCGGCTTTTCTTGTAGGTCCTTTGCCATTGCTCGCTGGTCTTTCAGAAGACCTTTTTCATATTTTCGGCACATCTCAAGGAATGACTGATAACCATCTTCTGGGAGAGCAGCAACAAGAAATACATCAGAAAGATTTTTCTTCTAAAAAAAGTACAACATTTAACAAGAATATTAATTACTCAGTGTAAGTGCTTTATTGATCAGCAAGTTAATTTAAAATTATTTCATTAAACAGGTTTAGGTTTAGTACAGATTATAATTACATCTGCTTTCTTTTGATAACCCATTCACTGGTGGCAAGACTTTCACTGGCAAGCAAAATCACCTGGTGTTCACAATATATTACAAATTGAATAAACTGAAAAGTTTACTCACTGTCTTTCCTAATATGTGGGAACATCTGTCTCTCCATTGCTGACTAGGAACTAAATCATTGTTCTCATTTTTTGTACCAATGATCTCCAACTGCCTGTGAGCAACTTCCACCTACAGCAGAATAAAAAAATGTTTGTGATCACAGCTTTTTTAACCCACTGACTGGTAAATCACCCAAATGATTGCTGCTGCAATTAATAATTTGGTAGTTTCTACTGCAATTGCCTGTGGCAGATTACTGCTAATTATTATCGTAAGTAACTCAGACCACTATAACCAATAATTTACCATTGACAATTTTGGTATGTACTTGAGAAAAATTTCTGGTATTTGACAAAGCAAAGTTGAATAAGTTAAGAAGTTGGGTACTCATTACTACTGTGACACTAATGGGTTCCTTAAGTAACTTGTTGACTGACTGTTAAACTATAACAAACAACCACTCCCTCTTAATATTTAACAATATTAGAATTGCCTTTCTACAGAACTTGCCTCATCTTTGAATGTCATTTCATGACGGAAACACCCAGTCTTATTATGCCTTGACGCCAGCCATAAAGCTTCAAAATTTGTTAACCTAACAAATATTCTTGCATATCTTCCCTTATACTCTTCACTATCAGGGTGCTTCTCTAAAAGTTGCTTTGTTGCCAACAAGTTATGCGTACCACCAAGTACCTCATACTGATAGCTGCTGACATCTGATTTTGAAATGTTCTCCTTTCTGTTCAGACCTTTTACCAACAAGTAAAGAGGTTCATATGAGCCATTGGGGTTACTTTCCATATTTTCCTTTAATTGGGCCAAAAATATTTCATCCACTTTCCTGATCATTCTGTCTGCTGGAGGTAGTTCAATATTGCCAACCGGAACATAGAATTGCTCATCTATTCAAAGTTATGAAAAGACATGCATGATATTACTGCCAAATGAAGGTGCACTTATACAACTTGAGTAAGCTAGAATGGTAAAAAGGAAACCATTGGGCAAAAAAAGCTGGTCATATTGAAAGAAGTAATTGTGTAGCAGGGATTTTAATTAAGAAAATGACTTGATAATTTAAGCCTTAATTTAAACTTGATAATTTCTGTAAAAAATTAATTAACATTCATTGTGGTTTAGTGGTTCAACAAAAAATATCATATGTATATATTTAATTTCTACATACCAACTTCGCATTCTTTTGCTCTTGTTTGGTATTGTAATTCTTTGGCCTCTTCATCTTGACACTTTTTCTTGGTTAGGGGAGTACTCAGCTGTTCCACAAGAGATGAAGATCCCCTTTTTAAATTTATAGCTTCATCTTCATTAGTGATTAAAACAGGCTCGGAATCCTTGGATCCACCTTGATTTTGTTGATCTTGACCATCATTAGCGCAATCTTGCTTTTCTAACTTTTCAATGGCTTCATTGCATTTTGCAGCCCATTGTTGCTCATTTTCAGTCGCAACAATTTCGCGGAAAAGCCCATTGCTTGCTGACCAGTCATATTTCCCTGTGGAGAAGAAACAGTGTTCTCTTTTGCCATCTGCCCCTCGAACGAAAATCAACTATAAAATATGAATAAAATAATAATTTTTACATAGAATCAATCAAAATACAGTATTAATATATGTACGGATAGCTGGCATCATTATTTGAAGCATCTAATAGGTGAAACTATCATCCATAACGCGCTCATTCATTGTGTAGTGCCCAGTTTATAACACACTAGCAATATTTCTGTGTAAAAATTTTACAGAGACAAATGCTAGGACTAAGTTTCCAACCCTTGGACCAAGGGTTTTAAATTAATTTTAAAAAAGCTGACTTTGTGTTTGACACTGAATCATTTTCCTAAAACTTTAATCACTAATCTTTCACGACGTAGAATTTACGCATGTAAAATTCCAACTAACTGAAAGCTATTTGTGTTATTTTAAGGCTTAAATGTAGAAATGGATATTTGTTTATCCATAGGCGGCCCAGAACTGATCTCGCTGACCTCGCGCTATGACGTACCTTGTCATAATATAAGACTGTTCAGACGACATGAGGTCGCGCGAGGTCAGCGAGATTAGCGGAATCAGTTCAGGGCCGCCTATGGTTTATCATGTTGTGTTCGTTCGGGGGGGTCCCACGCATCATACGTAGATCACGGCCCAAATCGCCGTTTCACCGCCCTATCATTCATTTTTTAATCTATGGCCCTATCTTATATACGCCCTGATCAATTAAAGGCATGCCAGTCATGCACTTATAGTCTCAAACTCGAATCATTATCGCCCCGTCGTAAAATAGGTGGTTTCTGAGGGCCGAGGCGCCATTCCTTGTTTTAGAAAAGCTAGCACGAGCATTATCATAGACTGTCAGAATTCTATCATTTATACTTTGCAACCTCAAGATAGAAATCTGCTAAACATTGTAAAACTATAAAACTTTATATTTCAGTCAGACTGCTCAATATGGAGTTTTATAAACTATAACAGTCCATTATTACTAAACCTTGGCTTTAGCCATATTAATTTTGATGGGTTTATACTTCATAATGAAATTTAAATTTCATGCGATTATGTTACGGCGTGCGTTTTGGTATATGACTTGTGAACGCTAAACGAAAGCTAAGTGAACCTCGGTAGGAGATTTTACTTGTAGTTAAACTATATCAGATATTGAAGGTATCAGATTTTTTCAAGGCAATGACACCCCAGAAAGCGCAGTTAGGCGCTGGACTATAGTGAGTGGGGGAAGAGTATTTTAAAAATCGCTTTACTGTATTTTTATACAACTAGTGCCAATATGGTTATTAATTCGTTACAACAAACATATAAACTGACTAGGACTCAAAAGGTCGCTGGTGCACGCAGCATCTCATTTCAGCAGGTAGAGACCAATACCACAGTATATAATACCAAATATATTTACCCTTTATACACCCTTTGATATATAATATTATCTTTATATTAATCACAGTGAGAAACTCAAAAAATTAAAAATCATACCTTTACAGCCACGCGATTCTTAAATTTTCCCACTTCAGCGCGCAGAACGTGCAAATATTCTACACTATTTTTGGAATGCCGAATACCGTTGACAAACACGTACGCTTTGTCCTCATTTACTCGAATTGACCATTTGAAAGAAGGCATTTTTTAAAATACCTTGCTGAACAAAACTGCTGGTGTCTTTGGCAGAGGAAATAGAGTATATTTTGGCAAGGTTTTCTAGCGTCATACAAGGTGATAGCGTCATACAAGGTGATAGCGTCATACAAGGTGATAGCGTCTTCGCGGCTCAACGAATCAGCGTTCGAGAACACAAAGCCGTAGGTAACTGAGGAATTTTTCATTGTTAAAAGGTTCAAAACCTCCTGTACTCTTCGCCTGTTGGAATTGGATTTAGCAGCAGTGACAACGAAAACACACTAAGTCCGCTAAACGGTATGATATGTTACATTTCTACGTGTCTAAATAGATTGAGATTAGAAATATATATTCACCTGTATTTGGACAAGCGTTGTAATAATTTATTTTGTTCTCCATTTTCTGCTAGTCGCCAACACTCCTCGTATTTTTATGACTTCTCCACTGTCTCTGCGATCCTACTCAACACTCGAAGGAAACTCATCGCCTGCTAGCCCATCACCAGACAACAGCCCTTCTAAATGTAAGAAAATATTTTAAATTTTATTTTTAATTTTAACTATACCTAAAATTTCATCATAGATATAATAACTGTATTTTAGTTGAAATTATAAATAAAGTGCGGCGCAAAAAAGGGCAAGTTACGTCTCTTAGGTTTCAATAAGACTTGACGCAATGATAAGACTTGCCGTTTGCTCTTTTGTGGCGAGTTGAAATATGAAATTTTGGAGTATGCGACATCGATTAGCAACTAACCAATTTTCGATAGACTCGTGACTTGTGTTTTTAGCATACCACAATAAATAAATTATTAATAAATAGCAGTAAATTATTCAATGAAATGCTACGAACACCAAACTTTGACAAGTGGTATATAATAATACAATTTGTCGACCGTCGGCCTTACATGCGCTTCCAAGTTTTAACTAGCGTCGCGCGCGTATACAAACAAGAAAACAATAAAATAATTATGAGAAACATCCTTAAACTTTCAGCTATAGCCTGATTCGAAGTTTATAATAAATTTGCGGCATTTAATCAACAGTGTGAATGATTTTACATGTTAGCCCAATCGCCTGTTAAACGTAGGAGAATGCTCCATTGTGACACCCCGTCTACATGCGCACAAGAAAGCAGCGGACAACGAAAAACAAAGTGAAGTTTAAACTACGAGGGTGATTCTGAAGGTAAGAACCATTTTAGACTTTAGTTGTTACTTGTTCACTATCAAATTTAAAGCAATTCCGTGCTTTGGAAACAAAAATGCATGCATGCGCACCTACAGTTTTAAGGCATATTGCTGTATTCATATTTCAGTATCTGATGACAATGAATGTTGGTTTGAACGAAAAGTAGTTTTTGTTGATGTTCTGAAAAACTGTTCGGAATACGACCGGCTCGTAAATTTGCTAAACTATCACCAAGCACACGTTGAGACATTCCTGGCAAACAGAGTTACCCACATCATAACAGCAAAAAAATATTCTGCCTGCAGCAAATAAGTAATGCTTAAAAATGTGCAATACAGCCGTGGAAAGAAAATGGTGCAATTGGCAATCATAACCACACCACAAAAAAATAGTTGGAAATCCACGCAACCAGTGCTTACCCTAAACGATTTGATAAAATTTTCCGTGAATTGTAGCAAACACATCGGCAATCGGAAGAACAGTGGTAATAAAAAGGTAGAGAATTTCACTAGTAATAACAGTGACAAAAAAATTGACAACCGCAGGAATGCAACTGTATGGGAATTGCGGGGTAAATATATTAGGGTTGAAGATGCAACTGGAAAGTATAGACCGCTTGTGGTTGAAATGAAAGACTGGCCGGAACTGGACTTTAACTGTCACAACACTCCCTTTGCTTGTCCAAAAGTTTTAAAAGCAATTTCAACTCATCCGAGTGTAAAAGGAAAACTGTGCGAGCTGTGTAACATTAATTATAATACTAGTGACAAATATAATCTTAATGGATCAATACATCAAAAGAACGCGCATGATAATAAGTTGTTTCAATCGCTCGATAAAGCGATACAAAAAGGATAATTCTTGTTCAAAAATAAATAAGTTTAAACTTACGACTTAAATATTCTCAAATTTAACTGTCAATGTCTTAAACTTCTTATAAAGGAACAAACAAGAAAAACAAGCAAATAGTCTTGGGAATCATCGAGTCTGACTGCTGTGATCTTGACTGCTTAAAAATTGTGCCATTTAAAGATATCGACAGTGTTAGACGTGAATTTATCTCACTTGAAAGTATTGTCGATGAAAGAAATTATATTCTCAATTATCTAAAAGATAACACGTCAACCACTCACGACGCAGAAAAAGGGAAAACAACTGTGTTCAGAATAAAAGGAACACAAGTCTGTAAGCAAGCTTGGATAAAAGTCCATGACATAAAGCTACAAAGATTCCAGAAGATATATCTTGATTTTAAAAATGGTTCAGAAGTGTACGTCCATGGAAACAGTGGATTGAAAAGGCCCACAACAAAGACGGCAGAATGTATAGCATGGCTGAGATTTCTGGTTAACTCAATTGGTGACCAACAACCAGATAGTGGAAAAGTTCATTTACCATCCTGCTTTACAAAATTGGCTTTGTACCAGAAAATTTTAAGTGACCTGGATTCTGAAGATACCATCAGTAGGTCACAATTTTATAGCATCATGGAGAAAGAATTTAAACATGTCTCAATACCAAAGGTAACAATTACATTATGGTCATAATATACAGATTTTAAATGGGCACTGTAATTTTCACCACTAAAACCATGAAACCGCGCCTGATAGCGGGCTATGTGTGAGTATACTGGACATTGCAAAGTTTTACGTAATCTTACCAACCATAAAACATGTTCAACATGTGAGCTAACCTTAAAGCTACTGTATCCCCACCCCACTAGCAAAATATGTATTTTTTAAATAAAATTTTCATTTAGCAAATAAATTTTTATTTGGCAAATAAATTTTCATTTGGCAAAATTTTCAAATTGGTATTAGACATGTCAGTTGGTGGTAATAAATATACCAAATATTGTTTTATTGCAAAAAAACCGGTTTACCAAATGTGACCACTGCACAAATTATAAAAAGCAACTAGAGGCAACAATGAATAAAGCTAAAAGAAAGGCCATTCAAGAACTTCTGGTTGAACACATTGAACGTGTTATGTAAGTAAACAGAATAATGAGAGTAAAATTTCTACAAATATTATTTGTTTGTCTACTGATTATTTTGCCTGTGTTTTGGGTTTTTGTCCAGCACCTGCGTGATTATAGTGTGGTATTAGCTAACAGGGCATTCTTAACCTCTCTGTTGATAGCAAGTATATATCCTGTATAAACAATTCAATAATAATTCTTACCAGGAATGAACGAAGAAAATATCATCTTCATCGGTACAAAGCACGGCGCAGTCCTTCAAAGTATCTAACAATCATATTGGATGGTATGGATCAATCCAAAACTGATGTACCAAATCTTCGAAAGGTCTGCAAATCAACTGCAAACCTGCAAAAGTTGAGAACACATCTTGTTGGAACTATAATGCATAGTGGGTTGTGTCCCATGGGAAAATTATTCCATGGTATGTTTGACCTTTTTCAATGGAAACATGACAGCAATCTAACAATGAACATTCTCATCAAACTTCTTGCACTGTTCAATGATCGCTATGGTTTACCACACATACTTAATCTCCAACTGGACAACTGCTAGCGTGAAAACAAAAACAAATATGTTATAACTTTACTATCTCTTTTGGTAGAATGGTCAGTGTTTGACAAGGTATAGTTAAAATACGAATATGAGATACCTTTAAAACAAAGCCAGACAATTTAGTCACAGCCACAAAGGGTTTACTGTAGGTGGGCCCATCTATATGTTTTTTGAAGTTTTGCCTGGTGCTGTAATGAATGATTGATAGTCTAGTGGGTTCAAAATAACAATATCTTTATTATTGCAGCTAAAAATGTATGTGAAGCTTAGAAAATAGCTTGAGCTAATGATCAAGTAAGATCATGTGTGCTTTTTTGTACTTGTACTAATAATGTACAAGTTTTTCAAAGGAGTAATTTTTCACAACAGGAATCTCAATTATGTTTCATACAGTATATATACAAGTTAAAGTAATATTGCATGTAACCTTTAATTTTTCAGATAAAGGGCAACTTTCTACCAGTTGGCCATACGCATGAAGATATTGATGCATTATTTCGCTGTTTTTCAAAGCATCTTAAATTTCTTGATGTATATACAGTAAATGGTAAGTCTTAACAGACAAGTACTTACATAAAATCATCTGACATAGTAAATCCTTGGGTGTATATATATTGTTCACATGTTAAAATGGAAAGGCATATACACTGTATATGTTCAACATGGATTTGACTGCATGTACGTGTGACCATGCACCCTCTGTCTGATACTGTACACAAACAATTACCATACAATTAGATTTTGTTCTATTCTGCTGACATACAGTGTGACAAAATAATAGAGATAAGCTGATTACCAAAATTGATTGATTACCAAAATTGCCCTTTACAATGTAAAAAATTATTTTATATTTGAGTAATTTAAGATCATTGTTGTTAAGCAAGGTTAAATTAAAAAACTATTGAATTCGGGCTTATGCATGTGTTGCTTTTTGTTTGTGAATCATCAGCTTACAGTGCATACATTGATTTTTTGCACCAATAAATGAAGCAATCAGCCAACAGATAAATATTAACAAGCCATTAATTGTTTTTTTCTGAATATTTTTTTTTTCTTTTTTTTAGATATAAGAAAAGCATTTGAAGAATGCTGTAACAAGCCATACCCAGAATCTGACTGTTTATCATGCATTTATGATATCAAGAAGTGGTTTGATGGTCACAGTGAGGACTTACACAATCATGTCAAGCCACACTGCTTTAAATTTGTGAGAAATGAAAAAAACAAAGCCGTAATGTATTACAGAAAGTGGAGTGATGATGAATGGATGGGTCCTATTTCTTTATTAAAGGTACCAGTATTCTAAAATTTCTCCCAAAGTACCACAACTATCACAAAGTACTCAAAATTGCTTCAAGGCACTATAAGTTATTGTTTTATTTCATTTTATAAATAGTCAACTCCTATGGACATGCCAGTCCAAATACCAGCAGATTTTGCAAAGGCAGACTTACCTAAGCTTGCAGTTGACATGCAAAAATGGTTTTCTGTAATGACCTCAACAGCACAAGGATGGTGGGAATCATTTTTGCAGACAACAGGCAACAATGATGCTACAATTGATAATACGTTTCCAATATTTTCACTGAAAAATCATGTTAGAAGACCAAATGCTGAACCTGTTGAGACAGCTGAAATACCAGCACAGCTATCTGCTTTGAGAGAGAAGGAGCTAGAACAACTAGAAGAGGTAAACAAAAATATTTTAATGGGATTGGATTGATACATTTGTGAAGCATTAACTAATAAGCTTTTATAACAACATAAAAAGTTTTAGCACTGAAATGGCAACTCCTATAGTATGAGCATGCTGATCAATGGAACCCTAATCTTATGCAGTTGGCATAGCAAATATACAAATTATTCTATATTTTACATTTTTTTTCCTAGATATATACTGGCTCATATCAAGCTCCAGCTTCCCGGGGCATAAATATACTGTGCCCCAATATTTTTTATATGAGAACCTTATGAAGTACCAAAATGTATTTGTGAGAAACATTTGTATATTTAACCATTCTTAATACCAAATTTACACTAAAACAATTAGTCGCCACAGCTCATATCTATACTTTGCCTTCTGCTCAGTGGATATGGGCTTGTAAACACCTTGCCTTCAGGCTTCAACAACTAATAGACCTATATGGATTTAATACGATGTCAATTATTTCTGTATGAACACAAAGAGCAGCATTCCCTGAGAGAATTGCAATATGTGTTATTATAATTCTTGCAGGAAATTCTGGTATTTGTGAAGCATTTGATGTCCTAATGCATAAGGAGCATTGTTACTGTGTATCAATGAGCATTAGAAATTGCCATGACTGGATTTATAACCTAAACAAAATATAGTGTTGCAACACTTGCGTATACAGTATTTACTCGGTTTATTTATTGGCATCAACACGCGTTTTTGGGCTGCCCTATGATCTTATAAATCAATAAATGTTATTTTATATGCAGAAGACTCGTGCTGACTTACCGGTATTTGATGCATATGGCTGTACTGATTCACCTATCAGATCTTGATAATTTCAGTATAGGACTACCTTCTAAGCTTCGAGTTGGCGAAACCAAAGAAACATTCAGTAATATTTAAAAAAAACCCTTTATTTGTAAAACTTTGTTTGCCTTCTTCGCCATACATGTTTTTGAAATACACAAAACACAATTCAAACACGTATTTATTTTGTGGCCTGGATCTCTGAATATATTAGATCTGATCTAAATATATTAGATCTGATGAACTGATGTGGATATATTTAGTTGCAATTTTTACTATAAATTTGTTTCAATCCGACCCTGTCTGTTGTGTGTTTATCATGTAATATCAGTGTGTTGTAGTTTAGGTAAGCAGGGATTTTATTCTTTATGTGCGTGGACTGTGGAGCAAAAGAGCAAGTGGTGTACTGAATGCATGTGATGTAAGTTTTAATACATTGTGCACTACTGAATTTTTCAAATATATACAATAAATATATAACAATTTACTATAGCACTGCTTTGTGGAAACACACTTCTGCAAATTGTTGAGGTTTTTAGGTAGTCTTTTTTTAATAATTATTCCAATATAAAATAGTTGTTTAAGATTTGTTGACTCTCCTATTACTAATCAATTTCCTATTACTATATGATTCCATTTGGAACAAGATGTAAATGCCTGAAATTTAGGGTTCCTTTTTGTATTAATCATGTTGCCTTTTTGTTATAATTATTTACTTTGTTGCAAACAAATAGGTGTCCAAAATTTGGAGTCCACTTTGGCAACCATTCTGCCCTTTTCATACAATTGCCTTATTGTAAACAAAATGGGTGTCTGAAATTCGGAGTCCATTTTTGTCATCATTTTGCCATTTTTTCATAATTATTTACTTCATTGCAAACAAAATGGGTGTCCGAAATTCGGAGTCCATTTTGATAATCATTCTGCCATTTTGTTATAAATGTCCCATTGCATTAGCAAATTGGGTGTCTGAAATTCGGAGTCCATTTTTGTCATCATTTTTCCATTTTTTCATAACTATTTACTTTATTGCAAACAAAATGGGTGTCCGAAATTCGGAGTCCATTTTGATAATCATTCTGCCATTTTGTTATAAATGTCAAATTGCATTAGCAAATTGGGTGTCTGAAATTCGGAGTCCATTTTTGTCATCATTTTTCCATTTTTTCATAATTATTTACTTTATTGCAAACAAAATGGGTGTCCGAAATTCGGAGTCCATTTTGATAATCATTCTGCCATTTTGTTATAAATGTCACATTGCATTAGCAAATTGGGTGTTTGAAATTCGGAGTCCCTTTTTGTAATCATTTTGCCATGATTATTTACCTTATTGAGAACAAAATGGGTGTCCGAAATTCGGAGTCCCATTTTGTAATCATTTTGCCAATTTTTTTATAATTGCGCCTGTGCAAGTATGTGTATGCAAGTAAATGGGTGTTTGAAATTCAGAGTTGTGTTTTGTAATAATTTAACCATTTTATTTTTCCTCTTCTTTTTAAACATAGTTTTCCATTTTGAAGAAAATATAAGTTTAGAAAAGGGAAAATTAATCTTTTCTCTAAATTTTCATATTTTCATTGATTTCAAGTTGGAAATATATACAGTTTGCAAAAATCTACTAAACTACTACTAAATTAAACAGTAAATTTTCCATTCTGCAAAATTGCAAGAAAATATTTTTTCAAATTTACCTCAAAAAACCTCTTCTTCTTCTGAAATTAAAGGAAAATTATACCTATTTTATATTATGGGTTAAACTGTGCAGAAAAATTAGTCAAATTCTGCAAAATCAAGGATTTTTTTTATGGATTTGGTAGTTTGGAATTGTTGAAAATAGTTTGGAACGCGTTAACTCTGAACCTCAGTCAAAGAGCAAACGTCAGAAAATCAAGCAATCCACTTATAACTAAAACTCCAGTAGAACGATCCTAGAAGAAAAGTTTTCATGGTTAATCTATTTCTTGTGTTTAGTTAGAAAGGTAGTCCAAATTAGAAAGGCAGTTGCTACGAATCACAAGCTGGGTTTTGCAAGGGAATTTCTCTTCCAAAACATGGCTTTATACATACAAGAGGGATGGAAAAATAAAGTGCAAGGGTTCAGCATTGATTATAGGATGTTTTCATATAACATAATTATGCAGCCTAGCAATCGTTTAGTTTAAACTGTAGGCTGCTTTTCACTTACCTGTTTTTTATACGCACGTACATATACAGAGAATTTTAAATGCTTTTAAATTTTTATTATTTAAGATGCATCTAGTTCAACTAATGCATACTAAATATGCAGAAAACTAAGTTCCTTCGATTTATTCATTTAGTTTTTTCGAAGGTAACATGTATTAGGATTTAAATTTTTACGTGCCTGTACGTGCGTATGAAAAACACATAAGAGGAAAACAGCCTTATTCCAGATTTTGACAGAACATTAAAACTCATTGAAAATACAATAATATTCTCTACACAGGATTTTGTCTGCAGAAGAGTACAAAATAAGGAATTGTCAACTTACGTCTTGGGTGACTGCATGAAGTAGACCGCTGTACGAAATATTGCAGTTAAATCTGAACACAGCTTCGGTGAAATTTCCTGCAAGGAACCAGTCATAAGACAATATAAAGACAATTGAAAGCTCTCTGAAGATTAAGAATAATTATACTGCTCGGCCTTGCCAAACTAGCCTCTCTGAATAATAGCTGTTCTTTTACTAGGAGCCAATTAAGTTCGCATAAACCTGGTGCAATATGGTCGAACTTACCAATTTTTGTAAATATCCTGCACGCAAAATTTTAGTTCAACTGTAGTTTCTTGATGTTGGTGGACGATGTGTTGTAACTAGTCCCGGGATGATAAGAATTAAGGCTTCTTTATCAAGCATTTTTTGACTCGATTTATTTGGCACAGAGAATTCGTACATGCAGAGTCTAAGTTGGTGATATGCTGGTCATACGACAAATAAGAGTCTAGTGTCATTCCTAGATCTTTGGCAATAGGAACAGGGGTGATGGCTTCGTTCGGGAACTTTATAGTCATGTCTTCCGGAAGTTGTTGTAGATTTTGCCGAGTACCAATCAGCATGTATTTAGTCTTTTCCGGATTAATAAGCAATTCGTTTTCAGAGCAGTGTTTAGCTACCGAAAAAAGGTCTTCCTCTATAGTTGTTGCTTTAAACGATCCGCATCAGCCACTAACGATCCGCATCAGCCGATCCGCTCCACATACATCTAATAATGGAATCAGTAGAATAGAATTCTGTCTCTCGATATTCTCCGTGTCCGACAGGGTGGATTCGGCTTCCGTTTGGGTTCTATACGAAAAAATCTTTATTCAATCCGTTAAGGTTAGTACTATTCAGCTGTTCAGATTGATAGCACCATGTTCTATTATTAGCTCGTTGATCCTGATGGACATGACGTCTTGAATTTTTCCTTCGGACTCGAAGGGGTTCTGCTCGATTTGTAATGCGAACAGGCAGTAGCGTAGCCAGCCTGTCGATTTGTCACACTATGCTAATATTTTAGTGTTCATTGACTGTTAAAACAATAAATTTTTAAAGACATGAATAATTATAATAACTCGAAATTTACATATAAATAGCGGGACAAAATCGTCAGGCTGGCTACGCCACTGCGAACACGGATAGTATTAATATGGTCGTTGCCGGTGACCTTTTGTTGCGGTGTTTGAGATTCGTTGTTTGGACTCTTTTGATTTACAGATGTTTTGGTTGTTTCAATTATATGTAAATCGGCATTGTACAGGGTGTATCAAAAAAACGCAACACTTAATATTCATGATATCCTCTTTGTTCTACAACACAAAAGACGTTTGGCCTCTGGAATGCGAGAAAGCTTGTAATCATATTCTAGCGGCACAATCGTCGGTAAACAAAGTCGGGTGCGTAAACCAACGAGCTGAATTGAAAGTATCTAACGAGTAAAATGTTATTTACAATTTATTTTACAAGGTAAACAGTTAGCATTCAAGTTATCATGCATGCACGACAATAAAAACTCGTTGTTCGGTTGTTAGCTGCACCATTATTAGTTTAACTGATTTGACTATTAGCAGTTGAACTGTGCCATAAGAAGCCATTTTAAAATCCCAGGGGCATAAAATATATTGAGCTTATGAACAATATGAATTTTAGAATATTAAGTGTTGCGTTTTTTTTGAGAAACCCTGTAATGCTGATCGTCAACATCGCTTGTTAGATTGCAATTTTCCCCCTCATTAGGGATTAACTCAACGATAACGCTATTATTAGTGACCTTTTGTTGCAGTGTCGGAGCTTCGTTGTTAGGGCTCTTTTAATTTATAGATGATTTAGTTATATTAATTATATGCAAATCAGCATTATGATGTTGGTCATTTGAGCCTGAATGTAGATTGTTTAGATTTTGATTGCTATTTGGGAAGTCATTGTTTCCCACAATAGTCCTACGTGCGCTAAAATAATCTTCCTTGTTATCAGGGGTTTCAAGTATGACCTCGCCTATTTGTGTGGATTCTCCTGCTTCTCCAATACTTTTAATTTTTGTTGAAGGTCTTCAATTGTGACATCTCGATCATATATTGCTTTATTTTTTTTCATCTAAAATAATAGCAAATTCATTCAGCATAGATTCCAATCTATGGTTACAAGATAGATTATGGTCCCCATTGGGCGCCATAATCTTACTCACGGAATCTACTAGAAATACATGCCACTTCAAAGATTACTAGAAATACATGCATACAGCAACACCTCGCCATTTTAAACGAAGCAAAATATTTCGTGTGCTACCTAGAATTTTCTACGCTAATATTATGAAATATTGCTAATTTTTTGCAGGGGGAGACTGCCTTAAAAAAATGTACTTGCTAAGTGGCGAATCATGACGAATCACACTTACGAAAAATTAGTATAGAGTTATTCTTTTGATATGTATTCTGTGGTTTAGAACTTGTATGGTTATTATAATTATTTGTGCTGTTTTGAGGTTTTGAAGCTTTAGCTACACAAAAGTTTAACACTCACTTAAACTGCAACATAATGCAACAGGCAAACAGGTGATTTCTGTTCACCTTTACGACTGTCTTTGTTTCCGAAAAATTTGCACGAGTTATTTCATAACATTAGCGTAGAAAGTTAGGTCTAGGTAGCGCACAAAATATTTTGCTTCGTTTAAACTGGCGAGGGGTTGCTGCATGCATGTATTTCTAGATAAAAATACAAAACAATCGCACCGTAACCATTAGCTTCACTTGGCCCGCATATAACCAACTTATGTAAAATTAGTGCTTTAAAGCACTTCAAATCTACATGTGATATTTTACAAGCTACGAGTAAAATGGTAATGTCTGTAAAGATACAGTGTGTCAGATTGAAGAAAATTAATCATGAACATTACAGTGAACTCATCAGTTTAAATTGTTATTTCATTTGAGATCCAACCAAAAGGTATTAAGTCTCGTCAAAGATCTTTCCAAAAAAGAATAAATTAAAAAAAAAACTGTAGGCTTTCACCACAAGAACTGGTGGTGTAGTGGTGAAGACGGTGATCTGCCAAGTATACAGTCAATGGTTCAAGCCCTGGACAAACCGAAAAAGAACAACAAGGTAATTAGGTGAGAATTTGTGAGCGTGAGAGGAGTAGAGCGAGAGGGCGAATAGGCCCTCGCCTTTAGCGAGGAGTAGACAGAAGGGGGTTGTCTTTCCCCCGTCTTTCCTTACTTTCAATGTAAGCTTTCTTCAATTAATTAATTGTGTAAGGGGATAATATGGGATGTCTGAGAATAAGAAAGAGTAGGGATAGATAAGAGTAAATAGGAGGATAAATAGGGATAAAGAGAATTAAATGAGTACAAAAAGACTTAAATGTTTTATATACTTTTCTCACCTATACTCTCCCCCTGCTCCCGGAGCCGAGGCCGCCCAATTACTAAGTCTTTTTGTACTCATATACACCTCATTCACCCTACATATCCCCTGATTTCCCTAAAGATTAACTTTTATTTCCAAAGATTAGTCGAGTATAAACGCGAACAACATACCAACCCTTTTTCTTTCTTTTCGTCATGAGAAACGTACCATCCTTTTCGTGAAACCACGATCTTGTATTTGACAGTGCACGACTTTAACACAAGGCTAACTGGCGATTGTTGGAAGCCTACACAAACTTATTCGCCATAACCTTACCATGTATTATTTATAACGAAAATTTCCATCAAAAACGAGATTAAAAACTCCAACTTTCGACACATGAAACCAACATTTTCACCATTAGACTACAATTTCTTCTGCTGAAAGGCTACGTTTATTTAATTTACCTTATCCTTTTCACGATCAAGTTCATAAAAAAAAATGGTTATGATAGGATTCGAACCATCGATTTACCACATGGGAGACCATAGTCTTAACCACTAGACTACAAGAACTTGGTCTGAAAGGCTATGGTTAACTAATTTTCTTTAACCTTTTTACAAAGTTCATATTGAAAAACGGTTATCGTAGTATTCGAACCATCGTTTTACCACTTACGAGGCCATTGTCTTTACCACTAGACCAAGAGATCATGTGCTAAACAGCTATTTAATATTTGATTTACTTTAACCTTTTCACGAAGTTCATGATGAAAAAACGGTTAAAATAAGATTCGAACCATCGATTTACCACTTGGGAGACCATCGTTTTCACCACTAGACTACGAGATCATGTGCTGAGTTGCTATGAATATTTGATATAGTTTAACCTTTTCTACGATGTTCATAATAAAAAACGGTTATGGTAAGATTCGAACCATCGACTTACCACTAGGGAAACCATTGTCTTCTCCACTGGACTACAAGATCATGTGCTGAACGGCTATGATTTTTTGATTTATTTACCCTTTTAACGAAATTCATAATAAAAAAACGGTTATGGTAAGATTTGAACCATGAAGTTGACACTTGGGAGACCATTGTCCTTTCCAATAGACTACAAGATCATGTGCTGAAGGGCTATGAATATTAGATTTACTTTATCTTTTTTATGATGTTCATATTGAAAAAACGGTTATGATAAGATTCGAACCATCGACTTACCACTTGGGAGACCATTGTGTTCTGCAATAGACTACAAGACCATGTGCTGAAGGGCTATAATGATTTAATTTACTTCATCTTTTTTACGAAGTTCATAATGAAAAAAGGGTTATGGTAAGATTCGAACCATCGATTTACTATTTGGGAGACCGCTGTCTTTACCATTAGACAACGAGAACATGTGCTAAACGGCTAAGATTATTTGATTTACTTTAACGTTTTTACTAAGGACATAATGAAAAACGATTACGGTAAGATTTGAATCATCAATTTACCAGTTGGGAGACCAGTGTCTTCACCACTAGACTACGAGATCATGTGCTGAACGGCTAGGATTATTTGATTTACTTTAACATTTCCATGATGTTAATATTGAAAAAATGGTTATGATAAGATTCGAACCATCGAATTACCTCTTTGAGAGACCATTGTGTTCTCCAATAGACTACAAGACCATGTGCTGAAGGGTTTTGATGATTTAATTTACTTTATCTTTTTCAGGAAGTTCATAATGTAAAAACAATTATAATAAGATTTGAACCATCGATTTACCACAAGGGAGACCTTTGTCTTCTCCACTGGACAACAAGATCATGAGCTGAACGGCTAGGATTTTTTGATTTACTAATTATTAAAAACGGTTATTGTAAGATTCGAATTACGGATTTACAACTTGGGAGACCATTGTCTTTTCTACTATACTACGAGATCATGTGCTTAGCGGATACGATTATTTAGATTACTTTATCTTTTTCACGAAGTTCATAATGAAAACACGATTATGGTAAGATTTGAACCATCGACTTACCACTTGGAGACCAATGTCTTCACACTAGACTACAAGATCATGTGCTGAAGGGCTAGAATATTTAATTTACTTTATCTTTTTCACGAAGTTTATAATGAAAAAACGGTTATGGTAAGACTCGAACATCGATTTACCATTTGTGAGACCAATGTCTTTACCCCTAGACAACGAGATCATGGGCTGAACGGCTAAGATTATTTGATTTATTTTAACGTATTTACTAAAGACATAATGAAAAACGGTTATAGTAAGATTCGAATCATCGATTTACCACTTGGGAGACCATAGTCTTCACCACTAGACTACGAGATCATGTGCTGAACGGCTGTATATATTTGATTTACTTTAACCTTTTCACGATGTTCATAATGAAAAAACGGTTTTGGTAAGATTCGAACCATCGACTTGCCACTTCGGACACCATAGTGTTCTCCAATAGACTACAAGATCATGTGCTGAAGGACTATTATTATTATTTAATTTACTTTATCTTTTTCACGAAGTTCATAATGAAAAAACGGTTATGATAAGATTCTGACCTTCGATTTACCATTTGGCTGACCACTGTTTTCACCACTAGACTGCGAGATCATGTGCTAAACGGTTAAGATTATTTGATTTACTTTAACGTTTTTACGAAGGACATAATAAAAAACAGTCATAGTAAGATTCGAACCATCGACTTACCACTTAGGAGACCAATGTGTTCTCCAATAGACTACAAGCTCATGTGATGAACGGTTATTATTATTTAATTTACTTCATCTTTTTCACAAAGTTCATAATGAAAAACGGATTATGGTAAGATTTGAACCATTGATTTACCATTGGGAGACCATGTGTTCACCACTAGACTACAGATCATGTGCTGAACGGCTAGATTATTTATTTATTTTAACGTTTTTACGAAGTTAATAAAAACGGTTATGGTAAGATTCGAACCATCGACTTACCACTTGGAGACCATTTTGTCTCTCACTAAACTACAATCATGTGCTGAACGGCTATGATTATTTAATTTACTTTATCTTTTCACGAAGTTCATAATGAAAAAACGGTTATGGTAAGATTTGAACCATCGATTTACCACTGAGCCCTTGTCTTCCACTAGACTACAGATCATGTGCTAACGGCTATGATTATTTTATTTACTTTAACCTTTTCACGAAGTTCATAATGAAAAACGTTATGGTAAGATTCGAATCATCGATTTACCACTTGGGAGACCATTGTGTTCACCATAGACTACAAGATCATGTGCTGAACGGCTAGATTATTTAATTTACTTTATCTTTTTCACGAAGTTCATAATGAAAAAACGGTTATGGTAAGATTTCGAATCATCGATTTACCACTTGGGAGACCATGTGTTCTCCAATAGACTACAATATCATGTGCTGAAGGGCTATTATTATTTTAATTTACTTGATCTTTTTCACGAAGTTAATAATGAAAAAACGGTTATGGTAAGATTCGAACCATCGAGTTACCACTTGGGAGACCATTGTCTTTTCCAATAGACTACAAGATCATGTGCTGAAGGGCTGTGAATATTTGATTTACTTTTCTTTTCAAGAGTTCATAATGAAAAAACGGTTATGGTAAGATTCGAAGCATCGATTTACCATTGGGAAACCCTTGTTCTCACCACTAGAGTAAAAGATCATGTGCTGAAGGGCTATGAATATTTAATTTACTTGATCTTTTTCACGAAGTTCATAAAGAAAAAACGGTTATGGTTATGGTTATTATATCTATATAAGTATTTGCATAACAAATACCAGATATCTCTCGTTATAATTAGTTGAATTAAATTTGCATCTCAGATATGTTGCTTAGTATGTGTATAGAATTTAATTGCTGTAATAAATTTTATACTATATGTCTTCTCACACGCACTATAGAAATAGGTTAAATAGGTTAATAAAATGTTCACATACTTTATCGTAACGTCAACGTTATTGAAAGAAGATTCCATCATCTTTTTCAGCAATTCCTCTCTCTTGTTTGATGTGAAAAGATGCTGGAAGACAAAAACAAAATTGTGCACAAAATGTAAAACTTCAATTTGCAGAAATAACCGGTATCTTATCCTTTTGTTATTATATGGCTGGTACTAGCAGCATCTGGTACATACCATTCTGCTAATAACCACCACAGACAACAACAAATCCCTAGGATAATCTGAGACCTAAGATAGAAATGGAATGAAAGCCTGAGTTAAATTATTGCAAATCACAAATATTCAAATGTCTGGCAATATCAAGTATCATACCAGTGCAATCAGTTCTATATCTTTATAGTTGTAAGAAGCCAATTTTTATTATCTCTTTAATCAATCTGATCCAGTGAGCCTGGTGACACCTAAATTGAACAAAATTGCTTCAAAAATGGCTAATAACAAGGAATATATATATGTATATAAACACACAGGTAAGTTATCAAGAAACTTTAAAACAATAAAAGTAACTGTAACGTGAGTGCAACCTTTCGTTCATTTCAATGTAATTTATAACCACTAATCCTCTACACAAAAATATGGCATATGTTGATGTTGAAATAGTTTGGAAACGTTAGCTTCAGTTAGCTTATCACTTTATTAATAAGAACCCACTTATTAAATTAGAAAAGGAATATGGACCTAATTTTTTGAAGACAGAGGGGGGGGGGCATTGATACCATGATGAATTACGAATTTGAATTTATTGCGAATAGTTTCATTTTAAGGAATGAGGTATAATTAACCCGAACATACGAATTCACTTCCACTTTTATGACCAGCAAAGTCTTTGTAGAACTTTTAAAATATAATAATCAGTGGTTAATTGACAGATTGTACAATACAGTAAAACAAAGGTACGAAATAAAAAAATTACACTTCCTTACTAAAGCCTCTGTGATAAGGTCTTCTCTGCGCTCGGTAGAAAATGTAATATTCTTAGTCTTTTGCCTGCTTTGTCTATAAATTAAACAAAGACAGATTTTTTACAAATTACCAGCAGTTGTCAGTTTTATTTTATCTCAAGATTGACAACTGACACTCTCACACCAATGATAACTTCTGTTGGTGCCTTCAAGCTTGGCATGATGTTTAGAAAATCTTTGTAAGCCCACTAAAATATTTTTGAAAATTTGTCAGTTAATAACTTTCTCCTTGTGGTTACCAGCCATTCACATGTGCAATGATAAAATTAGATTGAGAACTTTATGGCTGCAGTTATATTCCTGTTGCCGAAATACATACAAAGACGAATGATAGTGGTCAGGTAATACTACATACAATAATTTGCATGAAAATATGGAAATGATGATAAAATCCTAAAAGGACATAGGATTGATTTCAACATAATTTGTTTGGAAAATCAGCAAATGAACCTCTATTTCGGAGTTGGTCTGAATTCTTGACATTTTTCCAAAACTTTCTAATAGTTGTTGATCATAACAGAGAGCTATTATATATGTTAGGCATTTGCAAGCAAATTCAAATTTGAAACCCCAGGATCATGCAGCAATTATATTGTATCAATATGATGGAAGACTGGAAGTCAGGATACATATCATGTCAGATAAGCCCAGGTTGCACAAGACATCTTAATCAAAATTTACATCAAAGTGATTTTGACAAACATTGACACTCCTGTATTAAAGTCACATACTCGGTTAGAAAACTTGTAATTTGTTATAACAAAAATATTACAATTACCTGGTATTATTTAATATACCAGAACAGTACTTGAGTGTGAAAGTGCAAAAGTATCCAGAACTATTACACTTACTTGATTGGTGACTTCAAAGGTAGAAAAATTGTCAGTTTTTACCGCTTTCGATGCGATGGAGAACACTCTCTTATACCTAGAAACGATGTGAAACGAAGTCCAGTTAACCAACCATGCCCATCACGCCCGGACTGGTAAACAAACTACGAAGAAAGTACACGATGGTTACACGGAAATCACTTTCCCACCACGAGTGTTTGATCGTAAAATGACAAGCTATATTGTCGTCATTTTGCCATTTTAAAGTTTCGATCACTCACAACTGAAATATGAACATTATTAGTCACACAAAATCGAAAACATTCGATTGCAATTCCGCCATGATCTTTGGGCATACCCGATTCGTGAATTTTGACGTCGGGCGCGTGATGAAAGGACTGATGAAATATTATGTGGCAGATCACTAATGAGGGTTATAAGGCCGGGTTACAAGTCACGAAATATATTGTAATAATTAATTAAATATGTAATGCATAATTATAAGGCACTAATAATATAATGCTACCATTAAATTGTTCTACGGTTTTATGGTTTCATGGTTCTACGGTTCTATGGTTCTACGGTTCTACGGTTCTACGCTTCTACGGTTCCATGGTTCTATGGTTCTACGGTTCCAGGGTTCTACGGTTCCAGGATTCTACGGTTCCATTGTTCTACGGTTCTATGGTTCTACGTAGGGGTGGATCCAGACTGATGTCTGATGCGACTGATGCGAATGCATCAGTCAAAATTTCACGAGCATAGTAATTGAACACTAAATACGGAAAATTGCAATAAATACGGAATTTTCCAAAAATCTCTAATAAAGTTTATTATTTATTCTCTTTTCGGTTTACACTGTCTTAAATTCGTAAAAAACTAAAAACGATTGTTAATAAATCCAAAAAAGGCAAAGCGAGACGATGTTTGAAATTTTAATTAAAATTTCGCCTTTCTCTCGTTGTACGGTTGTTGTCGTGACACTATATCCCCGAATATGTCGATTATGCATCCACTCTGACTTCCACTCTGTCGTGACACTATATCCCCAAATATGTCGATTATGCATCCACTCTGACTCTTATCATATTACCGTCAGTGGATGCGTTTACGTAAGATTGGTTCACAAGGGAATGAGGGATATTTACTGTCAACAATCAGGTGTATACAATTAATTTATCAAACCATGGAAGAAAAACAAAATATTTCACCTATGATAATTTAGAAATATCGCTTCCTTGCTGACTCAATTGTGGTGGAAGAGTAAGGATAACCTTGTTGATGTACATAATCTTTATGATTATTTATGTTTACCACCTCTATGATACCTTTAAGAAATGGATTGAATTGTTAAACATATCAATAATTCAATTTATTCTGATACAGGGTTCATGGAGCATAAGAATGCCAGGGGTAGAAACAATTTAAGAAAAAATCCTGCACTTCAGCTTGTTACAGAGGTAAGTTTGCTTTTAGTTTACAGCTTTCATATTGATATAAGGTACCATAATTCTTGTTGACAAACTATCCAAACAGATAATTGACTGCCAAATTTCTTTGTTAGACATAATACCCATGTGTGCTACTTCGCTACTTTTTAGTTACCTGCCATATTTTGTATAAAATTCTCATTGATATTTTAGTTAATTGACAGAGTAAAGGTTCTAAATTACCAGTAGAATAATTTTCTTTCACAATGTATCTGGCAAACTCTATTAATTCTTTTTCAGGTAAAAGCAGAATTTTAAAGAGTAAACCACAAATTAATCCATGATATAGTTGGCAAATTTCAATCCATTGATTGAGAAAAATATTTTGGACTATGCCAAGAAATGTAACAAGAAACTACATTTGTTCTTAAAAACAGAGTGGAGAGAGCAATTGCTGGGAAATCAGGTAAGTCATGCAATTAATAATAATTTGTCCAAACCAATGGCAAAATTACAGTATTATAGCAATACAGGCTATTGCTACATGAAATATGGCCTATTTATAATCTATCCATCTTGATAAACAATTTTTTTAACAGACATCACAAACACGACAAAAAATGTTGGCTTACATGATTTCACTACATTTTATTATCTATAGGTATTATTTACAAACAGTTAAAAAATGTACTATTAAGTTAAGCATGCCGTCACACTAAGGAGTCAAAAGAAACATTTGCATGTAAATACCTATATAGGTGATTACAACAAATTTTAGCAAGTATACAAATAAGTTGCACCATATAGCAAAATTTATAGGTATGGATAACAATTTTCATAGCATGCATGAGTTACAAGCAAACATGTTGAAGCAATAATAATGTTACAATATATAAAATTATATTACTACCGTTTTTTATGCAATCAAAATGTTCAACAGAGCTTATCTCTTTAATTAAAAACATATATATTATGTTACACTAGTAAAATATTAAAAACAAACTTTTCCAAGCTTTCGGACGAACGCGTCCATCATCAGGGAATAACTGGCGTAAAACAAATTCTAGCCTTAAATACGGTCTACAAATGTGCATACATTAATAATTATACAATAATTATTAAGCCTAAGGTTAAAACCTATTATAAGAGGAAGGGTACCAAAAGCCCAATTATATAACACAGTACTCTCTGTTTAAAGAATGACAATAATTCATAGTTCTTATTTCTTTAAAATCGGCTTATAAACGTCAGGAAGTATCCTACCATTATCTCTGTTCGAAATACCGTTACCCGATTGCTCAATCATACATGCTTCTTTCCATTTACGTTGCGCCCATCTGCTCTCTTTACATAATAATTTTGAATCGTTCCATGCTATATCATGTTCACAATCATACCCATGCTTAGCTAAAGCTGACTTTTCAATCTTCCCCAAACGGACTGCTGCCTTGTGTTCCTTCTCTCGCGTTCCAAAAGCTCGTCCTGTTTCACCAATGTATTCTACATCACAGCCCGCACAGGGGATGCTATACACCTCCCCTGTCTGTTCTTGGATTGATAATACATCCTTTGGTTTTACTAACTGTTTTTTCAACGTGCATACCGGCCTCATTGCAACTTTAAATCCGTTTTTAATTAATGTCCGTTTTAATCGTTCCGTTGTACCTTGAATATATGGAAGGACTACTAAACCATTGCCCTTATCCCGGTCTGTTGGTTGTTCAGCATCGCCCACTGATAAATTACCACTTCCAATTTCCCTACAAATTCTCGTTAACATTTCTTTAGGGTAACCGTTGCCTCTCAAAACTTTATATACTCGTTTCTCTTCTTGCTTTTGCTCCTTCGCATCATTACATACGCCAACTGCTCTCATAAAAAGTGTCCTCGCAACCGCATTCTTATGCTGCCTTGGATGATGGGAATCGAACGGTAAATATCGATCCGAATGCGTCGGCTTTCGGTATACCTTTGTGTGGATCATACCATCATCACTAACTTTATTTAGCGTATCAAGAAACGCAAGGCCTTCCTTCTTATTATATCTCTCCACTGTAAACTTAATGTGATCACTTTGAGTGTTCAAATGGTCATGGAAGTTAGAAATCTGCGATTTCTTCAGTGCTGTGATCGTGTCATCCACAAATCTGTAATAAAACCTCGGACTATCAACAAAAGTATTCAACGCTTTGATTTCCAATTCTTCCATCACTAAATTAGCCACAACCACCGACACCGGTGACCCCATTGTTGTACATGTATTTGCTTATAATAACTTCCTCTGAATTGGAATTCAGTCGATTTTAGACAAAACTCCAAGAGTTCAACAACATCCTGTTCTAATAATGACGTCCTTTTTACTAATGTTAAATCCTTATTCAGTCTTGAAGCCGCAATCTGAACTGCTAATTCCACCGGGATTGAAGTAAATAATGCCACAACATAAAACGACACCATTTCCTCATCATCTTCCAATCGGAACTCACTTACTTTCCGAACTTACTCATATGAATTCTTTATATGGTGCTGAGAGTTACCAACAAGTGGAGATAAAATACCACGTAGAAACTTTGACAACTCGTATGTTGTAGAACCAATAAAACTAACAATAGGTCGTAATGGTATGCCATCTTTATGGATCTTTGGTAACCCATATAAGCGCGGTGTTATACCATCCGTCGTACTTAACTTTCGGTATAACTTTTTTCCCAGCTTTTCTTTCTTTGTAACCAAAATTAATTTCAATCGCTTTTCGCATTCTTTTGCTGGATCTTTATCCAATAACATGTATGTCTTATTGTCATTCAACATATTGTTTATTTTCTCTTCATACTGAATTCTATCCATCACCACTGTCGTATTGCCTTTGTCTGCTTTCAAGATCACTATTGTTTCATCCTCCTTTAAATCCCTTATAATTTGCCTTTCTCTTTTAGTCATGTTGTCCTTTGGTAACTTCGCCTGTTTCAATATACTAGCCGTTTCTGTTCTAATTTCAGTTTTTTGTATCTCATCTAGACTGTAAATTGAACTTTCTACCTCGGCAATAATATCCATAATCGGAACACGTTTTGGTGCCATTTCAAATTTCAAATCTTTTTGTAATACAGAGCATTCATCGGTTGTGAAGGGCAATGGTTTAGTAGTCCTTCCATATATTCAAGGTACAACGGAACGATTAAAACGGACATTAATTAAAAACGGATTTAAAGTTGCAATGAGGCCGGTATGCACGTTGAAAAAACAGTTAGTAAAACCAAAGGATGTATTATCAATCCAAGAACAGACAGGGTGGTGTATAGCATCCCCTGTGCAGGCTGTGATGTAGAATACATTGGTGAAACAGGACGAGCTTTTGGAACGCGAGAGAAGGAACACAAGGCAGCAGTCCGTTTGGGGAAGATTGAAAAGTCAGCTTTGGCTAAGCATGGGTATGATTGTGAACATGGTATAGCATGGAACGATTCAAAATTTTATGTAAAGAGAGCAGATGGGCGCAACGTAAATGGAAAGAAGCATGTATGATTGAGCAATCGGGTAGCGGTATTTCGAACAGAGATAATGGTAGGATACTTCCTGACGTTTATAAGCCGATTTTAAAGAAGTAAGAACTATGAATTATTGTCATTCTTTAAACAGAGAGTACTGTGTTATATAATTGGGCTTTTGTACCCTTCCTCTTATAATAGGTTTTAACCTTAGGCTTAATTATTATTGTATAATTATTAATGTATGCACATTTGTAGACCGTATTTAAGGCTAGAATTTTTTACAACAGTTATTCCCTGATGATGGACGCGTTCGTCCGAAAGCTTGGAAAAGTTTGTTTTTAATATTTTACTAGTGTAACATAATATATATGTTTTTAATCATGAGAGTTCCGAGTAACATAACCACATTACATTTTACTTATCTCTTTAAGTCATCCAGCTGCCAATAGTCCAGGTGATGAACAGTTTTTGACTTTTGATACCATGACAGAGTCATCCATAAAGAACAATGGGCTGGCATAAGAACATATATTTAGCATGATATTAATACATGTATCTTTTACAGATAATACCACATAAAATATGGTATGTATTATGGAAAAACTAGATTTAGGCTAATCATTATTATAATATAATGTCCTCTTTGATCTAAAACTTCCTAATTATCAGACTTGCTCAGTTACCATGGTCTCTCATTTATTTATTGAATCCCTCATGTCTTTCCCCATGCAATGTTGCAAAATTCTGTTCTAATCTAAAAGAACAAATATAATGAATTAACAAGGCAAGCAATATAGCCACAGCAATGACAGCATTATTTATGTCATCATCAAGACAATAATAACTCATGGATAAAGGAACATTATGCTGACTTTCTTCGCCTGGCATTAAATAAAGTACTTATTGAGTGCCATTGTGCCAGAAATTTAAGCACTTTTAATCTTAACAGCAACGAAATGTCAATGTTTACCTGAATCCCTTTGTCTCAAATGTAAAAATTGAAAGATCGATCTCTTGTAAATGAAAAACAGGATGGTTTTTCTGAAAAATCAACGTAAGGGCTGGCAACCTAGTATGATTTGGGAATCTTAATTCATCTCAGAAGCATGGCAATATGGCCAATAATGCCAAGAAAAATGCTTGTTTTTCGAAGCAGAGACATTGTGTGAGAATTATCGATGTTTTTCTAGTTCTTTTTATGGCATCACCCTTGAATACTCCACCAAATCCACCTTCGCCAATCAAGCCATTCTCGATATAGTAATAAATCGCACCTGAAAGTCAAAAGCAATTGCTTGCCAATATAACTGAACAACTAAAGAAATATGTGAAGTAAAATGGATTTTAGAATAAAAATGCAAACTCTAAAAATTTTTGTAGCGATAGAATCGACTTGCCTTTTGACTTGCAAACTTCAACAAAGTTTTCCCCATCGACAACTCTAGTGACGCGTGGCACAATTGAAGGTTGGGAAGGTTTGAGAAAATAAATGGGCTTACAAAAGGATTGTTATGGAATTAAACTTTCATAAATTCCTGTCTTTCCCACCGCTGGTAGTAAGTTTGTGTTTCATCGAGTTTCGGCCGACTTTGTAGTCTCAAAATCCACGAAGTATCTCTAATTCGTCTTCGAACTAGAATCTGAACCCATCCTTGACCAACGCAACTGCACCCATTGCTTGAGTCACAAGATTTCTGTACTGAGCCTACGGTACCAGTGGCCTTTAAATCGCGGGTAAGAAAGTCAGTGCTTTCGTATCGAATTTTGTGTTTGACACCTGGCTAGAATCATCTGCACGAGCTTTGCTATCAGTTGAAGAAGCCTGGAAATGTCAAATACGTTCCTAAGAGCTTT